ACAGGTGGACGTGAATGGTTCTTGACGTAGAGTAATTGCGACCATTCTTACAGCCAGCACATGGACAAGGCATAAAACCATCCGCCCGCTTGGTTGCCTCAGCCGCAAGCAGAAAAGTATGCACGCCCTCAACGAACTTGGGAGAGCATCGGTCATCGTACATCCATTGCCGGCTCATCTTCATTACACAACACCGAATAGACCAAATTAATACAAGTTCATACATAAAGTTCATACAACACTTAAATGCAACAAACAAATAACTCTCTAGCTAAAGCATTTAAATGCAACAACAAATGCGATCAAGATCGCAACTAAGGTAACAATTGATCCAACAGTATAATGATACCAAGCCTCACTATCGATGGCATATTTTCTAATCTTTGTAATCTTCAAGCGCATTTTCTCCATCTTGATCTTGTGATCATCGACGACATCGGCAACATGCAACTCCAATTTTCCATCGGGACATGGAGAGAGGTCAACTTGTTGCAAGGGATTCAATCTTCCATGGTGAACCTGTCATCTGGCGGCCTTTGCTAGCGTCATGTCGTATCCATCGGGACATGGAGAGAGGTCAACTTGTTGCAGACAGGAGGATAATGGACCTATAACCCGGTTTCTTCACATCCTATGTAAATCTCTACAACATTTACCTGGATGCCGGGGAGCTTTCCTTAGCTTCAAAAGTTAAAGGCGTGATGAAAGAACAAGGCGTGCAGAAAGAACCTGGTCTAATCAAGTTTTTTCTTAAAAGGAGGAAGATTCCCGGTCTCTGCATCTGGACGATGCATGCAGCCACTTTATTAATTATCCACACAAGACCTTACAAAGTCATACAACAGTAAGACTAAAGCCACCGTCTAGGCAACATCTGTCGCTACTCCTATCCAGTTGATGAAGGGATGCTGATAGTCTGGGCCTAATACCAAACAAACCTCGCAGCAAAACTAACATCTAAGACCTGAGGTCCCAACCAGGACGCCTGCCGGGTATGGGCACCCACCAGTCCGGCGCACTCCTCAACCAGGACGCCTGCCGGGTATGAGGCCGCCGCAGCCACCTGCCGCCAATCCATCTTCAGTGTTGTACTGCTGCATCAACCTTGCTAGGCCTGCCATCGACGCCACCACGACGCCAGACATTGCCACCATCCTGCGCGTGTCCATCCACGTGCGCCCATCGCTGAAACTCCGCAGCGCCATGTCGCCGTGATCCATCGTCGGCCTTGCGGTAGATGTAACACCGCTCCTCCTCTTGCCACCTCCATCCATCACTTGCTCCAAAACGATGCCCCCAGAAGGAAAAGAGATACAGAGAACGCCATCATCGTCCGATCCAGAAGACCCAGATCTAGGATTTCCCCCGGAGCATCCCGAGCCTGATGACGCAAACTGCAACGACGATGCCTCGACAAGGAAATGACACCAAAGACGCCGCCATCGTCCGTCATAACCGTAGTCGGCGTGATTTTCATCGGCACTTGCACCACCGGGCGTGCGCCGTCGGTGTCGCTGGTCCCTTCAACCGGAGCAAACTCCAAAACGATGCCCTGAAGAGGGACTACGACGCAAAAGCACCGCCATTGCTCGATCCCAAGGAGATCTAGGGTTCCGCCGGACTTGCCCGCGCCGTCAAGGACCAAACAAGGATGGAATCCGCAGATCCGCCAAGCTGCCGACGTGCCGCACCCGCCATCGCGCCGACCGCGACCCAAAGACCAAGACCAAGCCCACGCCTGGCCCCTGATCCGGCCACGCCGCCACCGATCCGGTCGCGCCGCAGCCGTCCCTGACGACCCGGTGCCCCAGACCTTGAAGCCGCCTGCCATGGAGGTATGGAATCGCCGGAGCGCCGCCACCCCCTGCCGTGACGTCCGGCCGAACACCACGCTCCAGCCCGCGCCAGCCCCTCACGAGCGAGAGGGCCCCGAGTCCCCGCCGCCGCTGGCGACGGCAAGGCTTCGCCCTGCCGCGCCCTCGGGCGGCGGCGAAGGAGGAGGAGGAGGAGAAGGGGAGGCCGGGCGATGGGATCTGGGAGCCTCCCGGCCGCCACACGGGGGCGACTCGGGAGGAGGCAGGAGCGTATCGTATCGTGAGGAGGGCCCCTTCCCTTCGGTTTGGATTGAACAAAGGTCTAGGGTTCACACTCTCGTTGCCGGTGACAAGTACTCCCATCCGGAGTGCTTTCTAAGATTGCTAAATGGGATCGACAACCACTGACGCTTCCAGCACAAAGTCACATGGCGTCTTTAGAAAGGGGCAAAGTTAGATGAATTGAGACAGTGAGAAACTAGATGTGGCATTAGGATCGATTAATTTACCACAATATACAAGTAATGAAGAACTTGAGAGTCTGCCGTGACTGCCATTTAGCTATGAAATTGATATCGAAGAGTGAAAACAGAGAAATAATCTTGAGAGATGCAATTCGCTTCCACCACTTCAAAGATGGCTCATGTTTTTGTGCCGACTACTCGTAGTAGACCATAGAGGGTATATCGAGGAGTCACAGTCCTAAATATACAACACTAAAATACTCCCTCCGTTTCTAAACATTTGTCTTTGTAGAGATTTCAAATAGATTAGCACATACGGATGTATGTAGACATATTTTAGAGTGTAAATTTACTTATTTTAGAGGGTAAACTGGGAATGACCGCAACAGCCGAAGCCACCACTGTCACGTGTTCTGTGTTCCCTTGATCCCATCGGAAGGTAGCTGACTGAACCACCCGCTCAGTCTTCACTGTCGCTCTGAAGCCTGAGCCCTCTCTTCCCCGGCGGCGCGCGGCACCCTCCCGGCGAGGCGAGTCGCCGGAGCCCGCCCCCCACTCCTCCTCCCCTGCGCTCCGTCCGGATGGGTAAGCACCCGCGCTCCTCCCACGAATCGAACCCCCACCAAAACTTCCTCCTTCTGATCCGTGTACCGTAGGATCGTTCCTTCGCGCGGCTGATTTCCAGTGCAGAGCCCAGGTAGGTAGGCGCTGTTCCCCCGACCTTATCGCCCCCCTGACTTGCCCGGCTCTCACGGCGCTCCATCGGGCAGCTCCCCAGGCTGCTTAGACCGGCGGCCTGCGGCGGCGGCGGGGCGAGGCCGAGCGCCGGATCCGGCATGGAGAGAGCGGGGCTCCTCGCGCCGTCCCCCCCGAGGGCGCGGGCCACGGCCCGGGTCGCCATGGTCTCTAGGTACCCGCCGTCCGCATCCGCCGCTCCGCCTTCGCAGCTCTCGCTAATTGCTATAGTATTACTGAAGTCTGAAATCAAATCCTCTGCAGCTTCGCCACGGAGCTGCTCGAGATCAGATCCAGGGAGCCGTCCCCGTCGCTCCACGTGCTGGTCGTCCCCGGCAATCCAGGTTCGTGACTGCCGGCGCTGTACAAGTCATCTTCATTTTTCATGTGCTCATGGGTGAAAACTGAAAAGCGATTATGTTGCTCTGATGTGTCTGTGTGGCAGGTATTGTTGGATTCTACAGGGACTTTGTCCAAGCCCTCTACGAAAACCTCGGTGGGCAGGCATCTGTCACGGGTAAGCTTGCTTGATTCATTTTGTATTTTCGTCGTTGTATTGTCGCTGCTTGCTGACGACACTTGTGCATTGTTCAGCGATAGGGCACATTTCACATGGGCAGAAGGTAATAACCAGATTTCTTCAGGTTGATTCATACTGTCATGTTGATTCGTTGTTGAATCAACCAGGAACAGTCACACCTATCATTTATATTTACATGGCAGACAGTCCAGTGATGATGTATTGTCTGGGATTATCATAGTTTCAGAGCACCGGGTGTTCTTAGTGGTTTCCCTTAGATGGATATGTAGGGGGGTTTATCCAAAGCATGAGGTTGTCAAGGAATTTTCTAGGTTATTAGGGGTGGTCATCACTTGGTTCAGGTTTTAAGTTTCTATTGAGAACTGTTGTTCTATTTTGTGCACTCTGTTCACTACTAGCTATGATAAAAGTTGGGCGATGCCCTGTTTCTCACTAATGTGTTCTGTTAAAAAAAGAAGCAATTCCAATGTTTTGGTCGTCTGGGTTTCAAGTTTCTAATCCTTATTCACTGGCATGGTTCGGAATAAATGGACAACAATAATCCTTGTCAATGCACATTCTTTTATTGATCCTGTGGCATGATGTTTAGTTGTTTACTATGATATGGTTGTTTTTTATTGTCTGGTCAGCATATTAATACCGCTACTGTATCTGATTGTTACACTACCCATGACAGGATTACGAGCACGGATGATTGTTTTCATTACACGAACAGATTGAGCACAAGGTTCGTTTTGGCATGCTTTCGTCGCTTCCAACTGCAACTGCTCTTCGTAATTTTGTTCCTGCTGCAACATATTTTTAGTTGTCATATCTCCAAAAAGAAACACACTTCTGAAACTTAATAGGAACAGGCGAACACTTTCCTGTTTCATTTTTTTCTCTCATCATTTTCTCGACTGTTGAGAATAGATTACTCATATTTCTCATGTCCATGTTTCCAGATTGATTTTCTTGAGCAAGAACTTCTACATACCAAACAGTCCATAATTGTGGTATGCTTCTGTCTTCACCAGCACAAGCTTCCTTTTATTAAATCCAAGCTGTCCTATGCTAGATTACTATGTGGACAATTTAGTTGGTTTACGCTACAATACTAGTGTTCAAAACTTCATATAGTTTAAGTATTACATTGAGCCAAACAGAGGAAAAGGAAAGTCTGATTGAATTTTGTGGAAAGGTGCCTGCACCGCTGCTTGACTTGCTGGCCCATGGTCATTTTGTTTTGGGGTAATATCTTCATAAATATATTTTCATATGTAGTTCATTTGCCTTGCGTATGAAGACATCATAGTAGTGAAGCGCTTTATTTGTTTACTCTTTCTGCAGTACTGTACAAAACTGTTAGTTATGTACCATTTGGGTCCAACTGTTAATATTTCTTACTGAAGAGTATGTGATTCGCTTGTATATGAAAGAGAGCATCTAAGCTTACTTCTCTATCAAATGAAGGTGGGTCATTCTATTGGCGCGTACATAGGTCTGGAGATATGCAAAAGATTCCAGAAGAAGGTATGAGTATTTATCCAAGTCTAGTACTCCTTTGAAGGTCCTTTCCTTAAGTCTGTACTTACTGTTTCATTTTTGTTTTTGACACTCCTGGACAGGTAATTTTTTTTGTGGGGCTTTATCCATTTTTGACATTGAACAAGAATGCTATGAAGCAATCAGCAATTGGATATGTTGCAAGGTAGTAAATTATTTGGAGTTTGGTTGCTTTTTTATGTATATTTATCAACACAACAATACCAGTTTGCTACTCCACAAAACTTGGATAATTCAAACAAGGCGATGTGATAGCATGAGCCACTAGGGGAAAAAAATTCTAAAATTGTTGTTCTGTAAAACAAGCAACACAACACATATAGAATGCTAGATAGAACTCCCTCAGTAAAGAAATATAAGAGCGTTTAGATCACTAGTGATCTAAAGAGCGTTTAGATCACCAGTGATCTAAACGCTCTTATAATTCTTTACAGAGAGAGCAGACAACTAGGCAGACAACCAATATATATAGCTGTCTATAGCTATTCCTAGTCCTAATTATCATATTATAGGAGATTAATCAGTACCTTAATTTTTAGTTTCAAAGTTGAAATGATCATCATGCCCATTCCTAAATGAATATTACTGTTTCTCTGAACTTGATCTTCTCAAATGAACATGTCAGGTCATCTCTCCTTAGTAAAGGGGTTAGTTTGTTAGTGTCTTTGATCGGCTCACTCCAGGCTTCAGTTACGAGGAGCATTGTGAAAAGGTTCCTTGGATCTTCTTGGTCTCCAACAGCCATTGATGCTGGATGTAGCCATCTCTTGCAGGTGCTCTGAGCTTCTTCCTGTTTAGTTGGTCATCTGTTTTGTATTTTTTTCTTATCTGAAAACTTGTCGAGACATGTGTTCATTTTCTGCAAACTGTGCAGTACCATACGATGCGCAATGTGCTTTTCATGGCAAAGACAGAGTTTCAAAAGGTAAATGTTGATAATGCTACATCAGCTGCATTATGGGTCACAAGAGAATTATAGGAGTATTATAATGCTATATTCAGCTGCATTACATGGCAAAG